TAAAATCAGTCAATTAAATGCCTTTTGTATCGCTAATTAGAGTACATTGTGGTATTTTGTCAGAGACCAGATATAAACTGGTTAAAAGTTATAAATTTAGAGTTCAGCTTACTGTTAATATATCAAAAATTCTAGAAATTAAATAATATATGTTCTGTCAACATATATTGTTGTAGCATTCCTCTGCCACTAGAGGGAGGTATTTGCTCTTCAGGTGTGTGTAGCTGACACATTCTTATAGGTGGTTTCCTGTCACCTTGAAATAGGAAGACTTGCACCTACAGCTGAACATGGCAAACTTTTCACTGCCCTTAACTTCTTCTTAACTTCTAACTGTAACGCCATTATCTGTTTCTTTCTCCACCTCCTGCTTTATCTGACAGAGCAAACTTTAGAGAGACAAGTATTACAGAGCCAGTGTCGAAGACTAGAAGCTCAGAACTACAACCTCAGTCTGACTGCTGAGCAGCTGTCTCACACTATGGGGGTAAGACACACACACACTCACACACACACACACGCAGAACATTATGATAATACCCGGGGTCTACTGCATACCCCTACTATATTAGCTCAAGTAAACTAATATAGTACAAAGTATTAGTTTAGCTGTCAGAAAGTACAGAATGGGGGTAAAGATTGGTTATGAAGGGTTACTGACCCAGAGTCATAAGGATGCGGAATATTTTTTTTTACATAAACCTATAGAGCTGCTTGAAAAAAAAAAAAAACAATCATTTATTCAGTAATGTCTTAGAGACATGAATGAGTGACTTTCATTTGTTCCTTATCTACATCCTTTGTAACACTTGACTCCTCCTCTGTCGCTCAGGAGCTGATGTCGCAGAGACAGAAGCTGGCAGTGGAGCGGGAGAAGCTACAAGCAGAGCTGGAGCACTTCAGGAAGTGTCTGACACTCCCGCAGACACACTGGCCGAGAGGCAGCCATTACAAAGGATACCCTCCAAGGTGACCCCGACATGCCAACCTGAAGACCCCCCGCTCCCGTCCGCCTCCCCTTCAGACTTAGAGTTTATTTTTTCACGGCCTCATCCTCGTGGCTTTCGTGGAGGGGAATGTGGCTGGCTAGATAGGATTAGTGAATTAAACGGCTTAAGCGAATGAATAAACAGGTGAATGCACAAGAGACAGGACCATTCATTGAAGAACAGTTAGTCTTTGGACTGTGGCTTGCCAGGGACTGCTCCAAAAGCCACTGATGCGTGCCAATGTAGCCAACCCAGAGATCAGCGAGGCAGGAGAACCTGAAGATCAACACACAGTTACAAGCAAATGCCTGCTAGTCACATTCTTTAGCTCCTGCTGCTCTGCTGTTTAGTTCCTGCATCCCTCACCACCACAGCCACACAGACAATCCTGCCAATGAAGGAGCAGCTTGCCCCCCTTTGCCCCTCGAGGGGTTTCATCACAAGACTTGAAAGCTCCAAATCTCCAAACGAAGGCTTCCGGCCAGTTGGGACAGATTTTTACCACAGCGGCCACATGAGCTTTTGAACTGGAAATGCACTTAAGAATAAAAGCTGAAGAACTACCTGTTGGTACTGTGTTACAACAAAGAACTATTCAAATTAGGGAAAACCTTAGAAAATGTACATTTTTTTGGAAAAGAATTACGGAAATGTTTTATTTCAAAATAGAAAGTTTGAAAATAAGAATTTTAAAGGGTGCTTCAGCCTTGTATTGTACATAATATGAAGACTTAAATGAATTTTGTATGTTTTTATTACTTTAATCATTGTTCTTTTAAAAGAAAAGCCTGCCATTTTTATATGTTTATGCTTTTTTTTGGGGGGGGTGGAAGGGGGTTAAAAAAAGCCTTGCTTTTAGTGTTTGTTTTGTTTTGTTGTTGTTTTTTCTTTTCTTTTTTTTTTTTTGCTGCTGCTGGCCAGAAAAAGCTCACTCTGAGATGTTTCACAGATGGAGTGAAAGCAGGACGCGCTCCTGTGTTCTTCCTGTCCGGACTCAGAGCAGCTGAGACCCAGCCACAGCCCCACCTCATCTGGCCTCTGAGCTCAGCAAAGCTGGCTCAGGGACCCAGAGACACGCCGCCCCCATGCTGCACAGCAACATGCCTGTGTTTCCCCCTCCTCCTCTGCTATGCTTCACTGCTGCTGGCATGACTAGTTAATCATATCTTCACCCATAAATCAGACTTACAGTGATGTACAGGTGCATCTCAACACTTTAAAAATATCCTGGAGAATTTAATTTAATTCAGTTACTCAGTTCACAAAGGCAAAGTCATATTTTAGAGATTATTACTTGTAGAGTGATCTATTTCAAGGAAATATTTTTGGTTAATGTTGATTATGGCTTCCAGCTAATTAAAAAGACTTTAAAAACAGACATTAAAAAAAAAAAAACTATTTTATTCTACAGTACAGCATCTGCACTCGAAACTTGGTCAGGGCTCCTTTTGCGTGAATCACTGTGTCTGGGCAGCGTGACATGGAGTCTCTGGTTCTGATGAGGTGTTCAGGTTTGCTTTGATAGGCGCCGTCAGCTGGTGTGAATTGTTGAGTCTCCCATCTTCCTCTTGACAATACTTCAAATATTCCCTGTCGGATGACAGTTTGCTGCTCATTGAATCACAGTAGTAGTCCTTAGTTAGATAAAGGTACTTTACTCAGTGTAGGTAGTCCTGCTGGAAGATGAAATCAGCATCTCCATAAAGCTAAACATAAAGTGCTCTAAAATGTTATGGTAGATGCAGACTTTGGACATGGAAAAACAAAGACCAACACCGGCAGATGCCATAGCACCCCAAATCATCACTGGGGTGCCATTACTATTCTTGCTAGCTTTTTAAATGAATTACAGAAATAAACTCTTCAGTGGTGGTCTAATTTTTTTTGAGATGCACCTTTACAGTTTATATATAAAGAGTCTCATAAGCAGCCAGCAGATGAAACTGCTTCTTAATACTTTAGGTATTGACTCGTTTAGTTTTTAAGACCGCTTTGAAGCCACTTCAATAATTACACCTTACAAAATTAAGCCCTTTTCAAACAGCCATTAAAGGACACGGTGCCAAAAAAAAAAATACATTTGAAGGATTTTACAATCTTGACTTTGATTAAAGTTGTAATTGGAGAGCCAAACTTTCCATCAAGAATCTTCCATTTCTCTTGACCTTTTTTTTTTTTTTTTGAAGGATCCCAATGCTGCCCAACGCTGTCATTATGTTCTAAATATCAGCCACAAAATCACACATGTAATTAAGCTGGACCTGATTACAAAGGGTTTTTTTTTTTTTTTACATTGCATATATGTTTACAACCTCTCCTCTGCCCTGAAATCTGTCCAGTAGTTCACCGACTACTTTCACCATCAGAATCATTCAGCCTGAGTTTCAGGGCTGAATGTGCCATCTGAAACCCTGGAGGCCATCACTGACACATGACTGTCGTTTTTAAGGTGTTGATGTAAAAACATATGAAGCCTTTAAAAAAAAACAAAAAAAAAAAACGGAGAAATAATTTTAGATGTACTAAAAGGGGGTTTTTGACTAAGACTGAAGCACAATTATGCCACACGAACCCTACATCACTTCCAAGTGCCTCAGTAATTTGGGAGCATGTGAATGAGTTGCGGTCCACACGTTGGAACATTAGCAATCAGGGACTTCACATCCAAGTGTCTGCAGTACGTCACACCTTCAAAATAAGTCTTAGAGATCACATTAAATAAATTTATCCGATCACAAATGACTTCATTCAAAACTGATTGTTTTTTTTGTTTTTGTTTTTTTTTTTAATGAGCAAGGCCTAAACTAGATGAAAATTAAAAAGTACAGTCTATTACTTTTCCACAGCAGCAAAGAGCCGCCCGTGCAGCCTATCAGCAAATGAGGACGCATGCAAGCTGAGGTAAGCTGCCAATTATCTGGGGAGGAAGGTGCAGTAAGATGAGGCTTACTCAGCCTCCCTGGGTCTCCATCTCCAACCCACGCACGCCCATGCAATAGCCCTGTTACTCAGTGGAGGATGTCTAGATGCTGTGAAATCCAGTTTTTTTTTTCTTTCTTTTGTTTTTTTTTAATTATTATTATTAATGTACTTGTTTAAATTCATCGTAATGTAATATATTCTTTGTTGAATGTAGTAATTAGGTATTTATGAATATATGGCTGTGATTTCTGACAAAAAAGAAAATAAAATACTTCAAAAATGTCAAACATTAAAATGCGTTATTGTTTGTCTTGGGTGGGAATTCCCCGAGGAACGGAAAACTGAACGGATTCCCAGATCCTAGTATGGAAACTTTATGCTTACGAAACTCTGGTAAGAGATTTCTCTTACAGCTTTTAAATTATTTGCCCCACCTTAAAATCATTTAAATGTCACGCAAAGCCTGAGCAAAAGAATATGAAAAAGCAATTTTCAAAGGAGTTCATTGACATGGTCATGGTCTTCATAGTCATATCTATTATGGCAAGTCAGCCCAGCCATGAAGCAGGAAAACTGACCCGGACCATCGTTCTACCACCACGTTTGACTGATAGGGTATGACTGAAACGCTGTTAATTCCTTGTCAGATGTCCCGTGGCCCACATCTTCCACAGAGCTCCACTTTTGTCTGAACAGACCACAGAATATTTTCCCCAAAGTCACAGGAATTAAGATTGTCCGCAGAGGCTTTGACCTTAGGTCTTTCCCATGGATGTCGGTCTCTTTGATAATGTTAAATCATGACCAGAGGCTATCACTGGTTCACAGGAATCCCGATGGCGTGTAAAATTTTGCATCAATAACATTGATTTTCCTTAGATCACAGCATGATGCGTTTCTTTTTCAGATCTTTTAGCCTACTTTCAGTTGTCAGACTTGTTCTATTTAAGTGATTCATTCTACAGGTCTGACAAACTGAAGCACTTCCTCAGTTTGTCAGACGACAAACACTTTCACACTACTGTAGATGTTACATCAGTTACTGAGGAAGTGAACTGCTAAAGCACTCAAACAGCACAGAAAACTACTCAACTTACACACAAGCGCATTTATTTTGTAACATGGTAAAAAACGTACATTCAGAAACCAAAGCATGTGAATTTCCACTATTAATCACAGTCAATCCATATGAAACGCATGCTTTCCATAAATTCAAATCTTCTTCACAAGTGAAGTGCGATTCCTTAAAATGAAACGAAAGAGTTCAGAGGTTGAAGTCCAGTCTTCTAAAAAATTCTGAAAACATCCAAAAGGCCTTGGTATTTTGGATCAGTAGTCTCCAAACTGGCCCTTAGTGGCACCAGGCTGCAGGTTGGAGCGCAGCTTGTACATGCAGTTGAGAGAATCGAGGAGGAACTCTCTTATGGTGTTGATCTCCATCAGAGTCAGGTTGTCCAGCTGCAGAGCAAAGAACAGGATGAAGACACTGATCTAGCACTGTGACACTTGCCAGTCAAATATCCTAATCTAACACAGGTATTTACCATTTGTAAATGTGTAACAGTCACATTTTCGAAGAGAAAATAGTTGTGTTTACAGAAATATTACATGGTTTTGTCAGAAGTTGTACTACAATTTAACTGAGAGGCAGGTTTTTATTCTTTACACAATGTTCAGTCGGCCTGCAGACAATGATAGTTGTTTAAAAAAATATATACATAAAACGTTTATTGACTTTTTATGTTACACTGGGCCACCTTGAAGTGGCCATTTCTCTCAAGAGTCTGTAGCAAAATCAAAGCAAAACAGGAACCAGCCGAGACACAGGCTACAGGGATAAAAGGATAATCAGAAATATTCTGCAAGACACTGTGACTATGACTGGTAATCCTGTTAAGTTGGGAAAACAGGTGCTGCGAGCTTAAGTTTGCCTAATGAATGTGGATCACCTGAAGATGAACCTCATCACACTTTTCTGCACTCTCCTTGTCGTTTCATGTCGGGTGACGCTTTAGTTTGTGCTCAGGTCAGTTCTACACGTGCGTCCGTTCTGCTTGTCGACGAATCCAACAGCGTTGTGGTTTATTCCCACGTTACCTGAGCGTGAGCCTCCTGCTGCCTGATGAAGCTGTCGGCAGACAGACGCAGTTTAGCCACCCGGGTGTCCCAGATGTCTTTGACCAGAGTCCGGATCTCATCGGCTTTAGGGATGTTGTCAGACGCGCTAAAGAAAGACAAAAACCAGCAACGAGAAAGGTCTGGCATCGCCTCGACGAGGAGCAACGCGGGATGCAATGCGGCGTGTTTGTGTGTGTTACTCACTGGTTCAGTAACAGTTTGGTTAGCTCCATGTAATATGGGCTGGGTGCAGGAGTAAAGGCGTCTTCTTTTCTCTCAAGCTCCCGCATCTCTTCTAGTTTCTCTGCATGATGGGAGAAGGTGTTTAGAAGGAAGGAAAACTGCCCTTTTTCACCGCAAAAATGTTTGTTATCCCTTTTTTTTATGCTAATACTGATTTTTCCGCCTTTGTCTTTTCTATGGATCCCCCTTTGCCTTGTGTTTCTGATTCTATGCATGTTCTGATTTTAAAAATAGAAAAAAAAAGTTTCAATAAAAATATTGCAAGCCAGGAAAACCAAAAATAATCCAAATTTGAAAAGATACAGTTGTGTAGTCTATTTTTGTTGTACTTCATAGTCTAATGGAGATTAAAGAAGCTCTGCATTGTGCAGCTGCACCAGTGAAATAATGAAAAGAAACATTGTTCAATACGCAGAGACAAAAACTTTAATTATTTAAGAAAATCCTCCTTTTAGTTTCAGAACCCAAGCTATTATAAATAGGATGTACACTTTATAGAAAATCTACACATTTTTCAGTGAATTAGGAATTGTGAAGGCATTTATTTCGAAACCAATACTGCTAGATTTAAAAAAAAGTTACACCAACAATTTGTTTATAACTAAAACAATAAGCAAATAGCAATATGAAATATTATCTGCTTAAACAAACATACAAAATGCTACAAACACCACAGTATTTTTTATGAAAAGAATATATTTTAGCATTTAATGATGTTAAACATCTTTTTACAGCTTGGCATGATCTTCAGATTGGTAAGAACTGAGATGAATGTTTGTGGTTCGTATCAAATATATTTTTGTAAAAAAAAAAAAAAAAAAAGGAAGTCAAAGTCTTGTCAATTGACAAAACTTTAAAAAAAAAAATTGCTTGTCATTTTGCTTCTTGTCCAGTCTGAGTTGGAGCCATGCTGTACAAAAGAATTAGCGAAAATGCCAGAGTTTAGATATGCAAGGCTGGTTTAAAAGATTTGCAGTTATTGCAGTGAAGGTGGGCAAACAAAGTATAAACTCAAGGGCGCTGAAGATTAATGCACGCCACACTTTTCAGGTTTATGTTTGCAATACGTTTTCAAAAAAAAAAAACAAAAAACAAAAACAAAAACATGTTTACTTCACAAGTTATGTGTATTCTTTTGGAAAACCTACCGACATCCATCCACTCAGGGGGAAGAATCCTACATTTCTGTCTCTGCTTTAGGTTTAGGGCCAGCCACACGGGGACATCAACAGAAAGTCCCGGGTTGAAGGGTCCCAAATCGCCCTGAAGACAGAAATGAACGGAAGTTTTCAGGTAAACATCAGAATCAAAACGCAATTTATTGCAACACGTTTTCGCACAATGGAATTTGTCTTGGCGTCTGGCGCAGACATAAAAATGCGCGACATGTAAACAAGTACGAAGTGAAACTAATGTTTTGATGCATCCAATGACAAAGATGGAGGTTAAAAATATAATAAACAGTCTACACACGCAGTTCTCCTCACGTACTTACCCCGATTAAATAGATCTTGTCCAGGCTGAAATTTGGTATTATTTTCACAAACTCTTTCTCAGCAAGAAATTCAACCTCTGAAGGATCCATAGCAAATCGTTACTGTGTTTTCCGTGACTTTTTCATACCAACACTCTGACTAGAGTTCCCGCGCTTGTGAGCTGTGAAAAGCCTGCACAGGAAACGAGGAGCGGACAACTGCGTCATCACCCGGAAGTACGACACACAAGATGAAGGATGTTTATCGTCGTGCTCTGAAACATATTTTAAACATTTCAGTTATTTGTTATCATGCTTCCTTTGGACAGTTGGATCGGAGTGATTAGAAAAATAAAAATAAATTAATGAATGACCGGCGCCGTGTCTTGTGAAGGTAGCCACAGCTAATAGTCGCTAGATGGCGATGTTTTCAATCTTCCTTCATACTAATTTTATTGGGCCTGATATGGAGGACTGAAAACAAAAGACCAGAAGCGATGTCTTCAAGAGCATGTCGTTTCCAAATAAATATATGTATATATACATATTTTTTTACAGCTTTTTCATGTATAAAAATTAAAATGAATTCTTACAGCAGGATCTGTAACACTAAACAAAAAGTTCTAGAATATGCTGGCATATTAGAGTAGCTCTGATGTGTTGTTTCTGTAGACTTGAGGCAGTGAACAACAAAAAACACACCATTCTCTCTAACTATGGAAGCTGTGCAGTTTGAAAGATTTTTGCTTGTACTTTTATGCATCAGGTCTTGTTTTTACAACCAGGAGAATCTCAGGAGGATTAAATAATTCAAGTATAACCCCAAATCAAATGAGTTGAAAAAGAGGCTTCATCGATTCACACCAGACTTCTTCAGGTTCATTGCAAGACTGACTGCTCCTGGAGATGCTTCCTGCACACATCATAACCAACCACGAGTCCTTGAAAATTCTTGGACAGATTTTTTAAAAATACATCAAAAAGTATTTTTAAATTTAATGTGTTATATTTCAGGTCACTGATTTCTTCTGATTACGTATTAGGTCGTGTATTATAGCAAAAATATTAATTTGCTGTAAGTACAACTTAAAATAAAATTAATTTCCAGGAACAAAATAAAACTTAATAAAAGAAGTAATTGTGCAGAATTGTGGGATTAAAAGATAAGGACTCAACACAAGTTCCAGGCTCTTGTACAACAAAAAACCTTTCACACAGCATTGCTTATCTGATGTGCACCTGTAGTCATCTTAAAAATGACCAATACAGTTGAGTAAAAGACTGCAAATTTATTACACAAATGGAAAAAAAAAAAAAAATCTTCAGCAAGTACCTTGACACTTTAAGAAACCAATTTCATTTTACATTCAGTTCATAAAGGTTCTGTAAAAATGCCAAGTTTTTAAACAAATTTGAAGTTAATTCTGGACAGTTCTATCCAATACAAAGGCAGCTCTATAACGTCAAAATCTTTACCTAATTCCAAAATCTAAGTGATTTAGAAGTCAACTGAAAGAACACACACCTTTAAGCAAGTTGTTCAAACAAGCACCTAGTGAAAAACAAAATCCACACATTCTAATGACCCGATACATTTCAGATATTTTTAAAAAAGTACAGTAAATTTAAACCTATCTGTAGCCAAAGCATTGTGGAAAGAGAAAAATAAGGAAATGTGCATGCATGAAGCATTAAAGTAGGTCAGTGTAGGTTTTTAAAGCATCAGGGTACATTTACATGAGTTTTGTTTTAAACCTTAAAAAATAACATTTAGAAGTCATCTCTATAGTTTTTTCTCACACCTTAAATTAGAAATTATTACTAATGCTTTATTAATAAGTTAGAACTGGATTTCAGTATGGCTACTACCTTTTCAATTTACAAAAGTCAAACATTCTAGATCTTTTGCACGCATCTGTAGAAACAATCTCAAAAAACAAAAAATAACGGAAATGTTTCATTTAAGAACAAATAACCTTTATCGCCTCAGCATCACCTTGTGAAGGTGGACCAAGGCCAACTGTGCATGTGTGTGGCGGCTGCACTTGATCAATCTGAATGATCAGCGCTCCACCAATTCTTTCAGTGCAGGAGGTTTTTAATGTAGCATCATGCGAGCAGAAATGGATGCAAAATTTCACGTGGAACTCCAAAGATTTGCACATGAAAGTCTTAGCAGAGATCCAGGACCGATTTGTTAATGGTAGGGTTGGTCCAGTCATTCCTCAGATCGTCCAAGTGGTTGTCAAAGTCAATCAAGTTCTCGTAGGACCTGCCCACCAGCAGGGCAGACGTGATCTTCTGTGCTTCACTCCAATCCTCAAAAGCATCCCTAGGAAAATATCCACCCAGAAAACTCCTGTGAGTCTACTTCAGTTTTAGTAAAAACAAAAAGTGTTTGTGTGTCTCAGGTACTTACGTTGTGACTTCTCGGATTTTCCACTTGTTTTCATGGTGATCGTGGATAAACACAATGGGCTCAAAGCAGCTCATTGTCAATCTGCTGCTGTCCACCTGCAGAAATGCAATGCAATTATTTGATGTTCTGCACACAATGCCAAGCTAGCTTAAATGATAAAACGTTACCATAACAATAGCGGCTTCACTGAAGTTCTCCGAAATCCTGGCAGCCACTTTTTGAGCAACCTGATTTGGTCTGAACAAAGGAAAAATTATGCACCACTTTAATTTAATGCATTTAGTTTTACTGATAAAGCAGGACTGGGATTTTCATTTAAATCTTTGTACCTTGAATCCTTTGTCTGTTCATTGGCTTGATAATATCCGACAATGATGTAGTTATTTTCTTTACACCAAGTATCAATCTGACATGAACAGAAAGGAAGCAAACAGGTAAGGTCAGAATGACAGCTGAGATTAGATTATGAACATTTTCAAAAGACAAAAGACCAAAAATATTTTCCTTTTACTAAATTCAAAAAGATGAAAACATTTTCACCAAAATGATGGCTTTGTTAAAATTGTATTTTATAGCTGTGGACTTAATTTTAGGAGCTGCAGTGACATTTCTAGGATCTTAAGAATTAATAAAGAAAAAAAAAACTAGAGTGGGTAAAAATTGGAACTGATTTCAAACAAAAATTAAAATCAATCAGGAAAAAGCTGATTTGTGTATTTGATAAAAACATCATAACCCCAGAAATTTTGACCAACCCATATTTTAACCCCAATATTGTTTTTTTTATTTTCAATATATATTTTATGTAGTCAAAATTGCACAACAGCTCAAAAACCGGTCACATTTTGTTCATTAATTATCTGTGGGATCACAGAAGTGAAAGTTTCATTAATGACAGCACACTACAATCATCTCTCCAAAAATCAAAACACCAATAACAACAAGGATTTATTGTAGAGTCTTGTCACCGACACCTTTCTTGTAAAATCCTCAACATCAAGTCGAAAAAAGAGAAGATGGTGGCAAAGACTGACTCGTATTCATAGAACTGACATGACTTCAACAACTAACTGAGTCACATATGAGCTTTAAATAAAACTAAGCCCATACACTGTACCCCTCTTTTTTCAGAAATACATTACTCCCAACCTGATCTGCCACATAAGCTAACAGCTGCATGTAGAATTTAAATGGTAAAAAAAAATTAAAAAAAAAATCTTACCAGTGTCAAAGCTACTTCCAGCATTGGTGCCAGAGCAAGAGTACCGTGGAAAAGAGGAACACAGTCCACGCACAAAACTGGACCACTGTGACCGTCTTTCTTTTTCTCTTTTGTCTTTTCTGCCACCAGCAACCCATTCACAGCACAGTGAGGATATTTGGCAGTGTGTAAAAGCATTTTACAGTACGCCTGACTGGTCAACTGAATAGGCATGTCTGTAAGAAAACAGGTGGACGGATAGTTCCTTTTAAAGTGTCAGAGTTGCTAGTTGCGGCGAAGAGCGACTGCTGCTGCTAGCTATCGTTACCGATCATGCCAGAAAAAAGTAGAAATCTACCTCAGCAGTTTCCTTAATGTCTGAACATAGGGAGTCTGCTACGCATTCAGATTGGTACATATACTCTTTGTAGTTGTTGTTAGTTATAACAGTATTTTCTGTAAAATGAGTAACTCGTGTTCAGTCAGAGAAGCTAATCTTACGTCCACCTTCGTTTCTGTAGCACCGGTGGAGCCGTAAACAAGTGAAACGTTGTCGTAAAGTGCCTACGTTCGAGTCGAGCTCCAGCCTATGTCAGCGGAGGCCTTACGTTCTTCCGGCTAGATATCCAGTTCTTTTCAGACCATCGGCGGACAGGAGCAAGGAACGGTGCAGGTCGTTTATCTGTTATTTATTTACAGCTCTTTGATTGTATGGGAATACAACACAGCTACAGTTTATTTCACAATGTAACGCTACGAATATAATAACATACAGTACCACCTTCGGAACGGCAGTGTAATTAAGTTACTTTGTAGAGCGACTCTCGGCTAATTTTCCGGTTAGCTACCGTTAGCATTCACAGTTACATTTTGCACAGGTTGAAGATGTGGATGTAGAAAACGTTTCACTGGTCAGACATAAGCTTAACATGATGATTTTTTTTCTTGCGTAAGAAATAAATAATACCACAATGTTGTTTTAAATAGAAAGTTTTTGTGATATTTTTTTCCCGGGGCACTGTGACCTTGTGTTTGTAGCTAACGCTAACTTTAGCTTGTCCTCACAATGAGCGGAACACCTTTTAGTTTGGTCAACCATGTAACTGCTTCCATTTAATTTAAGTGACTTTTATTAGTGATGGCCGTACGCAAATAACAATTATATACCTGATGTATAAATAATTTAATTCAGTATAAAGTATATACCACTTGTCATCTTTTGCCATTTACAGCAAACTTTCTTCTAGTATTTGATGCATATGCAGTTTATCACTGGGTCTGTGAGAAAATAGGCTCCTAAGTTGAAGTATAGCAAGATGTAAAGTTCCACAACTTGTTTTGCATTGTATTGTCCCATTGTTTCCACAGAATGTTGGCATCAAGAGCCCTCAGCCTTATTGGCAAACGAGCCATTTCTGCATCCGTCTGTGTACGTGGAGCACATGGTGAGTCCTGGTGCCAAGATGAAATGAATATTTTCCTTTCCTAGTTGTTGATATAACAATACAAGAAGTTGGTTCCAGTTAAAATTTAACTGCTCAGAAACTTCATTTAAAATGTAACATTCAAAACTAGAGTTTATTGAGCCATAAATGGGATTGTCATCACAGAATGTGGCTACAAAGATTCCTGCGTCCTCTGCATTTCTAACAAATCATCTAATTTCTCATATTACGTTGTCTGTGTGTGGTTTAATATTTATCACTAGGAACCCCTTCACTAGCAGATTATTTTACAGTAGGCGTTCTAATAGTACATGCTGTTGTTGCCAAATCTTTATGATGTAGATGACAATCGTTCACTTAGACTAGGGATCTCCAAATCCAGGCCTCAAGGTTGGATAACCTGAAACTCTTTGGTGTGTCCCTGAATCAAATGGCTGAATTACCTCCTCACTAATGGAGTCAAGTTCTGCTAATGGCATTATTTGACTCAGGTGTTTTGAAGCAGAGACACATGTCAAAACAAGTAGGAGTGTAATCTTAGTCAAAGTGTAAGACTGGCAAAAAGTGAAAACTACGTTGGCTGTTATTGCTGGTATGCAGCTGTTTGATATCCCACTAGTGTGTTTTTAATCAGGAGTATGCAAAAATGTTAGACATCTGATCAGATTGTTATAGCGGTAGAGATCAAGCAATGAATGTTTTCTATTCATGCGGTTTGCAAAGCCTGCTGCATTCAGATAACTGTTAAATATGCCACCAGGGTTTAATAATCCCATTAAACTATAAAATGAACATCTCCAGCGGTTTAGTTAGGTGTCATCACTTGGTTTCCCTTCTTTGTTTTGAGAGTAGCCTTGCATGAGGTTTGGTACAAATAAATATCTACTTTTATTTTCTCATTTAACATGGAGATACTTTTATGTTTTTCTTGGGGGTTTTTTTCCTAGCTTGTTAAAAATATTTTTGTTTGAAAGTAATTGGTAGACAAATTCTACCATACGTGGCCTGTGATTGAGTTGTAGTACTGTTGCACCTTATATGGAGGGATTCATATAAGAAATTGAAATTAAATTCTTGAAATTCAGATGCAAGAAATTAGCTGTTCTTTTTATCCCCTTTATGTTGTGTTTTGCGGTGGTAGTTATTACTATAAACTGGCCATACAAATAAATTGCATTGTTTGTTGATGTAATTGGCTTTTGTAAGTTGATCTTTACATGCTTTCAGGTAGAAAAAAACATTTAGGTTTTGCTTAGAAAAGTATCTTGGTTCTCCTTTGTTTTGAAACGAGCCAGCGAGGGTTCACAGGAGCAGACATGTCATGTCCATTATGTGTGTTGTTGATGTCAGAAGCTTGTTACTTTTGTATTTAATCTTAGAACACATATTTTGATTTGAACAAAGGTGTTTGGTTTAAAATTTCACATAAGTGTGTATTTTTTTTGCAGGCGTTGCTAAGGTGGAGGACTACACTCTCCCCCCCTACTTTGACAGGAGGGAGACCCCTCTTCCTGAAGTGGCTTATGTGCAGCAACTTACCCCAGAACAGAAGTCCCTGAAGGAGAAGGAGAAGGGCTCCTGGGCTGCTCTCAGTAATGAGGAGAAGCTTGCACGTAAGACTTGGTGACACACAGCCTTTCTTTGCAGGTCAAAACCAATTTTAGCATAAGGGAAATATATCTTGCTGTTATTTTTATTTATTTTTTTATGTGAAAGAATAAATTTAGATCTTTGTGTCTTGTCTGTGTTCAGTGTACCGCATCAGCTTCAAAGACAGCTTTGCTGAGATGAACCAGGGATCAGAGGAGTGGAAGTCTGTGGTTGGGGGCCTCATGTTCTTCCTGGGTTTCACTGGTCTGATTGTTCTTTGGCAGAGGAAATATGGTAAATAAGGAACAAATTATTTTGCAAACGTCATTTTATCAACATCTTAGTTTTCAGAAGAACAAAAATAGCTTTCTTGCAGTCTATTGATTGATTTCATATTTTCTGCTCGTAGTGTACGGACCTGTCCCACATACATTTGAGACTTTGTACAAGGAGCAGGAACTGCAAAGGATGTTGGACATGAGAATCAACCCAGTCGAGGGCTTCTCAGCCAAGTGGGACTACGAGAACAAGCAGTGGAAAAAGTAATGGGTCTCTACAGTTACCTCCTGTGCTTAGATCCAGGCAAATCTAACTTGAGAGATACAAGAATATCTATATTTCTGGTTTTATCATTTGTTCAAAATACTGCAATATGTGCATTGTGGAAGACCACTTCCTCCTAAGGTTCCTGTGTATAATAAAATAAAAACACGTTCAACCTAATAAAACCTCTCCAGTTATTTCTTTGCCTGGTGTCTTTTTTTTCCATAAGGAATCCATAACCTAAGAACAAGGAATACATTATGGTTATCTTAAATATGCTTAGCAGTATATATTTATATAAAACATTTAAATGATTTTTTAAAAATTGAACTAATATTTAGATGGCCATATTAACAGACGTTACTGTTGCAACTGTCATTGCATATGACACGGCTTCATCAAATATACTTTAGGGTTGTTTCACAAGCCGTGGTGATGACTTGATTAAATCAGCTGTTTTGGCACAAAAAGCTAATCAGAATTCCAGATGACAATGTAAAGGTCCAGTGGCTCCGTCGAACACATGACGGCTTTCTGCTGTATTCTCAGGGGTTTCATATAACATACCCCATGTAGTTGGCACAATAATTCTTGATTGTACCAAATGTGTCAAATTTCAGACCCATCTGTCTTGGAATAAATATTTTTTGTCCATCATTTCCACAGCTCTTTTTCTGGAGCCATGTTTCCTGTTAAAAATCCATATGCAACAGCTCCATTAGACCTGCAAGCTCTATGCAAGCTCATTTGTGTTATATAGGTTTTCATTTTGGAATTGCAAATCACAGGTTGATTTATTTTTTTCCTATAACATTGATTTTGTAATTAGTCCTCCAAACTGACCAATTTGATATTTTTTGTAATTTGCTAAAGCCATTTCCAAATTGAGGTGCTGATGTGTTTCTTATAGGAATTCATTACCCCTTCATCCTCTCCAGAAAAAGAGAATATTCTACACAGACTCATCATACAAAAGATTCATAATCCCCTATAGATCTCATCAAACAAGTTCACTTACAGATTTTTAACGGGATGTATCTATCAATGGATCTTTTACGACATTGATATACAATCTAAGCAAATAACTGCATATTTTGCAGAAGGACTGAAAGTCAGTATATATAAACTGAGTCAAAGCATATTTTTGGCTTTTGCAAGAGGTTTGACATTGATTATAAGCTCATTATAGAACGGTAAAACATTATCGCAGATTAAGTCATTATCCATTATAAAATGAACAGATAATTAAATAAAGATAACATGTACTTTCAGATGGTTTCTACAGCCTTCGAATGCATTATTATTTTTCCTTGCGCGTTTGCATTATGCACGTTTTCAAATATATATATTTTTGTGGAACATTAATAACTGTATATTTAATTGTTAAGTATTAAGCTGGAATGCCATTATTATTATTTGGAACAACGACAAAAGATTTATTGTAGTTTCTATTATATATTACAACGGCCTGCCATAAGCAGCGTCTGAGTTGACTGCAGCTTGCTGTGATGCCACTTACCGGATGAACAATTGTTTCACGTCAAAACAATCCGGAAGACGGTAAAGCATGACGGAACTGCTGCTCAGCGGAGGCGAGGTCAAGGCGACGGTGATCCCAAATGTCCATAGAAATATAATCTGCTGAACCTGTGGGTTATCATGTGCAATAGGTGTCGGCAATTCTCCGCTTTATGAGCCAGGACTAACACACTCCAGTGTTACTGCAGGTCCATGCTGACATAGCGCAGCTTTTCCAGCTGTCCGAACTGGTGTAGCTCACCGTAAACAGCTCCAGCGACGTCATGGGGAACGGAATGAATAAGGTCAGTTGTGCTTTTGCTTCCCTACTCAGGAGTCATGCTGTTTGTGGTCCCTCTAACGTAGCTGTGAAAAGCCTTCCTGATCTGTCCAGATAGTCTGACAAGTCACTGTCAGTCAGACCGAGCTGACCGTCTGTCGAGTTAGACCTCCAAGGAAATGCAAGTTAGATATGGAGTGGACCTGTCTGGCATTTTGGAGATTCTTTAATGATTTCTCATGTCAATGCTTACATTACCTCTTAACATAAACCATTACTGGAAACTCATTTGTGATCAAAATGCATTTGGTAAATGCTAACTGATTATAGCAAGGCTCAGATTGTTAGGTAGGGGGCGCTGTTGCAGTTACTCTTATAAATCCTTTTGATTAAAAAAAAAGAAGATAAATAATATATCTGCCATAATGATGTGGAAAATACTTAACTCTTTGAAAATATATTCACTTCTTATATATATACACTGCTCAAAAAAATAAAGGGAACACTCAAATAACACATCCTAGATCTGAATGAATGAAATATTCTCATTGAATACTTTGTTCTGTACAAAGTTGAATGTGCTGACAACAAAATCACACAAAAATCATCAATGGAAATCAAATTTATTAACCAATGGAGGCCTGGATTTGGAGCCACACACAAAATTAAAGTGAAATGTTCTCTTTATTTTTTTCTTCACTTTATTCTTCACTGCTGAGAGGGTATTAATGTTTATTAACGTTGGAATTCACCATTTTCTGAGGCAGTGGTGACCGTTGTGGTCCAGAAGCAGCACTATGGTGCCACTCATCACTTTGCCCTGCATGGCCGCTCCAAGCCTTGTATGGCTGTGAGGACATTGCTCAGTTCTTAAACCTTATTAAATCCAGCCTTGCCTGACCCGGAACGAGCAGAGTTCTGGTCTCTGAGTTTTAATGGATGAATGAGTGAGTGATTGTAATGCAAGATGTCTGCGTCTGTTGCTTCGCAGGTTGTTGATGGACTGTACCTGGGCAACATAAGAGGTAAGACAAACACGTTTCAAAATATGCTAACGAGGTTAAGTTTAAGCATAAAGAACAGACAGAACATGTTGGACTTTCAGTCAGCATGTTTGCGTTGGATAACCATTAGCATAGCCTATTTAGGATTGTTTCTTATTGATCGATGCAACACAGAGAGTCTTTCACTGAATCCCTTTTTTTTAAAGTAGTTTTATGTCAGTGTCAGTGGGCACTTTGGAGCGTACTTCCACATTTAAAAGCACTAGTAATCTGTATGCTCTTTGTGGTTAGTAGCACAGAACAAACCGACAGTTAAGCTGCATCAAGCTGACATCTTTTTTTGGCCTCTTTTACAAACTGATTTCTGTTTGTGTTTCAATGGAAGGATAAGTATCACGTAGAACGAGCTGCTGATGAGACCGCAATAAGAATCAGTAATCATGTGAGTGTTATGATAGCTGGTTTGGCCAGACGCTCACCCTCCGCCCAGCTAAGCTGGCATTTGCATTTCCACTAATTTTAGCTCCTCCGCCCGATTGCAGTGGCACCACATCTAAAATTAGTCCGGCTGACGGGATCAAGTGATCAGAGGACTAACTATTGCAAAGAACCTGTTCTCAGCTCTGTCTCAATTTGAACCTTTAGCACCGCTGCTCAGAGTTATGTTTATTCCGTGTAAAATATTAACCCAGAAGTATGCATCTTCATTTTTACAACCTTTCATTTACAGTTGTGTTTAGGTTGGAGCTTCACAGTAGTTCTGTTCATTTCAATGGAAAAAATAAAAAAAATAAAAACAGCAGCTGTGGATGAAGCTGAGTATTGCCAAAAAAGTGAAGATGTTACGTTTGAGATGCAGAACTTTGGCATCAAGGCAAAACACAGTGCCTATCCAAGAGGAAAGCACAGATAGAAAAGTCTATAGTTTGAATGTAAACTGAGGAACTAAAATTATTTACGAGCATTTATCAAGTGAGAAGGTGATTATCTGATTGGGATAGAAATAAAAACACTACAATTCTGGCCACAATCTGATAGACACTGACAATAAAAGCTTGAGTTGTCAGTGTTACAAAAGTGACTATTTTAATCTGGCTGTATTATGACAGCAGCATTACAGTATCAGCCATCAATGTGTATGCTGACCTAATCAATCCAGCTCTGGAGCAGTTTGTGTACCGAACTTCAGAGCCACCATACACTGATGATCTGGTGTTACAGCAAACGGCAAAATAAGAACAAAAACCCACATTGAGTAATTACAGAATGCAAATATTACAGAACACAAAATGTATTCAGTGACATCTTCTTATCTTGATAAACTATCAAACCGTTGATCTGTAATAGCTTCGAGCAGAACTATTTTTTTTTTTATTTGTTTGTTTTTTGATAACCAACTTGCTTGGAGTTTTTTTTTTAAGATTCAGAAAAATTGAATGTAATAAAGATTAGCCTCTTTGTTGTTGCAGGAAGACAACGAACCACAGTTATGTACACTAAACATGCAGAACAGGTAGCTGAATATTTTTACTCAGTTGTCCAGTTTTACAAAGAAGACCAGGAAACTGATGACACTGAATTTGGAAAGGAGGTGAAATATTAGCAGGAGCAGATATGGATGAACACTCAGATGGATCGTGCACTGTTTTTCTCTTGTGATCTAAATTGCAACATTTATACACATATCTTGCACAAGTAATCGTTTTAGCCACTGTCTGAGTATCTTATTGTCTGTGAATGGAGTTCTGGGTTTTAATCCAGGTGTCACAAAGAAAGGGAAGCTGTGTTGAACCAGCCTCTTTGCACAGCAGACATGTTTATACAGGATTTTTTTTTTTTTTTTTGCTGCCAGATTACCCTGAAGAAATACTTTTTTTTACACTCTGAGTCAGCTGAGATTATTGTTAGATGATAGCCAGTGACAGTTGAATTCATACAACATTCTGCGTTGTGAAAAACCTGTTTCTCCGAAAAAAACACAAAACAACAAACAAAAAAAACATTCAGAAAAGTCTGTGAGGGGGTAATTCAATCCATTTAATGCTCTACTTTTTTTGTGAATATTCTCAGCCTGTCTTGCACATTTTGTTTCTGAAATTAGAACTTACTGTTGAGCTCACAACATGTAAACACCAGTCGAGCAACTGCTTGAATGATGTGTTTCTTGTTTTTCTTTGTGCAGATTCGGAAAACAGAGAAGGTCTCTCCAAAAACGGAATCACCCACATCCTTTCTGTGTACAACAACGCTAAGCCAGTGTATGAGGTTAGTGAAGAAACCAGCCGGGGAGGTATTTTTGGCTGTTGCGTTGTGTGTTTTTAATGCATCAAACCAGTGCTTCCTGTGGAAAATTTTATCTGGTGATTTTTCTAAAGGCTTCGGTCTCTTTAGCAATGTGTAGTTCAGGCTGTCAGCCAGCAGGGGGAGCTAGTGACCTTCGGTTGATGTTAAAAGAGCTTGTGGCAGCAACTGAAGTGTAAATTCACCAGTGTGTTAAAAAGAGGTTTAGTTTAACTAAAAATGCAAAGCTCGTGATAAATAACCTACACCACATTAAACAAAGACTTCTAACCAGCTTTAGTCACAATCTGAATTCTGCATTTGACTGCTTTTAATCCTTGTTTTACAGGACATCACATACCTTTGCATTCATGCGGCTGATGCTTCCAGTCAGAACCTGTGAGTAAACAAGTGGGCTTCTTATTTGTACGGTTGTTGGTGCTTGTGGTTTTTGTTTTGTGTGTGTCATTAAGACTGTCTTGGTCAATATTGCTAGTGTGAGAATTAAAGAAAAGTTGATCCACCTCCATTGCTAAGAGTTCATTAATCTTCATATCTTTAGTGGAAGTTTTTTTTTTTTTTTCTGTACTGTTAAATTTAGCTCAAGTCAGCTTTATTTATAGTACGTTCTCAGGTTTAGCGTATTATGAAATTTTGGAGAAAAAAACATCTTCACCTAAACGGGAACTTGAGGTGAAGATAGCATATTACTATGCCTCTTTTTTTTTATATTTAACACAAGCAAGGAATAGAAGGTGACTTAATAACTTAAAATAACTTATCTGCCTCTCATATTCTACACTCTGTTGTTTTTGTTGACCCATTTTGAGCTAACCATCATCTTTTGAGCGGATGTGTTCACATTTTATTGCACTAAATGGTCACTTCCTTCCCATGAGCTCTCCACTACCACACCTCACAGTTAATCTGAGATGTTTTTGTTCAGGGTAACAAGGTTGGTTTTCGCCTGGTTTTCACCAGCCTTGTTACTCTGGGTTATTATCAGACATTGTTTATCTAAAGAAAATGCCCAGTTTTCCCGAAAGGCTTGTGGTTTATTTGGATGCAGTTTTACAAATCTAATTCGTATTACCATGTTTAACTTTAAAGAGACCGGAGCCTTTTTAAAGTGACAGCGCTCGGTCAGCTTCCTTCTCTCTCTTAACTTCAACATGCCGATGTTGTCGCAGGTGGAAGCCTTCGTTTTGCAACTTCTCTGAGCATCTCACGGTCTGACCTCAGTGTGAACTTTACACTTCTGAAAAAGAACAGCTGCCTTCTTGAACATTTTCAGCCGTTGTGTTTACGTTCATATTCATGTCGCTTAGCAGACTCTTTTTACCCTGTCTTATTGCTTTGATGGAGACCCGGCATCTCGATCCGGGGCACGACAACATGTGGCAGGTTCAGGGATCAAATTCCCAGCCTTACCAAAGATGGATAATCCTTCTGTTTCTGACGAATGGTGCTAAATATTTGTGACTCTGAAATTGTAACAGTCAGTAAATTGGTTCAGAAGCACTCGCTCGTCCTTTTAATTTCTATTTGAGGTGCGAGGGGGAACTTTGTTTTGCATATGCTTCTGCTGCAGCCTGTAATGCCACAAGGTATTATGTCATATGAGTTTGTTCATCTTTGTCATGTGATTTAAAGAGATATGAAAGATGAGGTGTAGCTATCTGACGGTTCTATCATACCGTTCCTATGGATTAAAGTCCATTTAATGAGAGTGTTGCCTGTTGCTGCATGGTGCTGGTTAGCTAACTGGATACAAGAAAGGCAGATTGAGCTATTCCCTATTTAATGTGTAAAAAAAAAACTATAGGTTTACAAGTTATTAGGCAGTTTTACTTGCTTTAAATTAAATGCTTTCAGTATTTACTAAACAGGTACATAAAGTCCTCATGTGGTTCATTAGAAATTTTCTGCGTATACCGAACAAAAAACACTTGGCAAGTGCTTTGCATGGTTGCTTTCTTTTTTTTTTTTTTTTCCTCTGTTACATCTATTAAACCGTCTTCTTTCGATAGTTTTTCAAGCTTGAATACTTAATATTCCAAACAGGTATTACAATTTTTGTGATGCTTACTCCTGAAATGCCTATATTTTTGACAGACTCAAATGTAACAAGACGATTGATCAGGTGAGCTAAAAACAAACAAACAAACAAAAATAACCTACGTTGAATTTTCCAGCCAAATGTTCGGGCGGAACATATATCCTCCATCGAAAATTTCAGTATTATTTACCGGACACGTCGTTTTTGATATGGGTGATCCAGATCCCTTTTACTATTAATGCAGACTCTGCATTTATAGGAGGTAGAATTATAAGTTACAAGCTACACATAAGACAGAAAGAGATTGAATGTGAGGCGTCTCTGACCCAAACTGTGATCCTGTTCCAGAGAAGTAGAACCTGAGGGGAAAGCGCTGCTTCTCTAGTAACAGTTAAACCGACCACAGCAGGTTATATCTTCTGTGTGTTTCGGAGGGAACGTCTGTGTTTTCAAGTGTCATTGGCACAGACATGAGCTGCACCTCCACTCTCACCAGCGGCTGCTATCACAACACATTAGTCATAGCAGTAACATGTCCTCCTATTAGCTCTGTGACTTCATACGGCACTGTTTGTTTTAACTCATAATTAAACACCGCGCTCAAACAGAGGATACAAAAAAAAACAAAACAAAAAAAACAAAAACTTCGGTCTTGGTCAGCAGTTGGAGCTTTAGTGAGCCGTCTTCATTGTTGCAGTGCAAACTGATGACTGATTTTGAGATCAGGGTGAGAAATGCTCGACTTGGTGCTCTCTGTTTAGAGCTCTGGGCTGTGTAATTTATAGGGTGTTGGTGATGTTTCTGACAGCAGAGTCAAAGTGTCAAGAGTGACTGAATACGTTCCAGAAGAAGCCCTGACAATAGAAAAGCATTGATTCTGCTAGGCAAAAAAAAAAAGAATCTCAAAGCAGCAGAGTTTCTCCGTTTTAACTTCAGTAGAGTCAGTTATCTGGGCTCTGAAGAGGAACTCGCTTGAAGTAAAACTCTTAATGAGAATTTAACTGTTGTGGCCGTTTGGCTGTTCTTGATTGGGCCAGGTTGGGGTGTGGATGTCTGACCTCCACTGTCGCAATCAGGCGTCCTTCCCTCCGGCAGCAGAGGAAGGAAACCTCCCAGTGACATCTGGCTGTTTGCTTCGACCACCCAGGGCTTTATAATAAACCCCCTCTGTCACAATCACTGGTCTGACTGAGGAGAGGAGAGGGTGAGGCCAACCGCCGTCCTGCCTTGCTTGCCATCACACGGGGGCCCCTACGGTCAGACCTGAAGGCCCCGTCTTCTGTGTTCAGTACATGACAGAAAACAGCGTTAATGGTGTCTTGAGTGACAGCTGCACTGCAGTAACAGCTGCTCTTTATACATTTTCTTCTTCTAATACAGCCTGCATCGGAAGTTCATCTTGTTTTTCATGAGCGTTGGGTTTTAATGCGCAGAAATCACAGACCATGAAGGCATCAACTGATTTGCATCAGCATTTGCATTTGTGCAAGTCGTCCCCTAGTCCAAACTGGTTCCAAAACCAAGCAGGAAAGAAGGAAGGAAAAATCAGCACAACATATACCAAACATACCGCAGATTTGCAGAAGCTCATTTTGCATTTCAAACATACAGCAACTTCTATCTGTTCTGGCTCAGTTTTTGCCCTTTTTTCTGTCTTCTTAAAACCTCAAACTTCTCTGTCACACGTTAGTTTTCTGCACATTTGAACGAGTGCCGCCGGAAACCTCTGTGCTAGACGAACGGAGCGAAGTGCTGAGGGAGACATTTTAAAGAAGGCTTTGGATCTCAAGGAGGAGGGAGAAAAAAAAAAAAGAAAAAAAAAACGAAAAGCGACAGCCAGTCTATTTTAGCTCCAGTCTGTTAGTGAGTCTGCTGTTGAGTAACCAGCATCTGCTCCTCCAGAGACGCCGTTATCAGCCACGCACTTCTCGATTATGCAAAAAGCGAAAGGATATCATTGTTTTCAGACTGAATACACAAGATGCCAGAGGAGCATTTTGTCACACAGCTACACCGGCTCTGTCCTGGTGTCACTTCACGGGAGGTGGCACCACTTTGTTGTGTTCATTTCAAAGTGATGTAATTTTGCACATAAAGAAAAGGTAGACGGCTACTTCCCTTCTCTATCCCCGCTGTCTGTGCCCTGGTCTACCACAAACTCTCTGTTTGAGCCAACCTAATGCTTCTCTCACATGACATGAGTGGAAGAGTAGAAAGAGAGAGAGAAAAAAACCCCACCTGATGAGCAGTTTCTTAGAAAAGACTGAAATCTATTAAAACAGACTCATGCTATGTTGTAAACCCCTCGGAGTGCATTTGTAGTTTCAAGTGTCAGAGTCAGGACATCATCATAATTTCTGAAACAAATTGGAACCACATTGCTCTGGCCTTTACAGGGGTGGAGGGGTTTCAGTTCAAGGTGTCTTTTCTCAGATCCCATTTAGCGGAATCCATTTTTAGCTCCACTACCTGCATCGCTGACAAACAAGATGCTTCTTTCCCCTTAATTCATGAGTGACTACATTTGGCTTTTTATTTTAGACATTATTGCATGTTGCACAATTCCCATTTTTCTTCTTCGCAACATTTCTCTTGTGCTCCTTTTTGCAGACTGCAGCATTTCAAAGAGTGCATCGGCTTCATCCACCAGTGTCGCCTCGACGGCGGAGCCTGTTTGGTTCACTGGTAGGTTTTTAAGATTTGAGCAGCTTCCTAATGGTAGCTGAGCGTGTCAAGACTGCTTCTCTAAATAAGGGTTATGTGAAAATCCCTTTCCAGATTAAAGCATTTCCAATAAGTGACTTGCTCTTCGGGTCTGAAGTTTGCATGCTGTCAGAATAGGCATGTCGGCCTTTTTAATGGTGTGCATAAATTTTGCCATGGTGTTTTTGCTACACAAGCATCTGGCAGAAATCCTGCTGCATTTGGAGAGTTCATTTGAATATTCCTGGCTCAGACCGCTGCTGTTAAGAATAGCCCACAACATTTCAATGTCTCACATCAAAACCCAATCATTGTTCAGCTAGAACACCCCATTGGGTCCCAGGTTTCCTCCATCTCTCACCCCAAACACTGAGTTTGACTTCAATATTGAAACTAAAACTGAAATGGAACTGAGGTTATTTTTCTCTGTTGATCTGATTTTATTAAATATTTCAATAAATAAATGAAATCTGTATGTGGTGTTAAGAAGCTTGTGATGGGACTTTTTGTGAGCCGTTGCTGTGGAAGTTGTTTAATATAATTGTGGCAACAGCTTCATCTACAATCTAGTAGGTTTCCATTGAAATATTCAATAATGTGCAGTGGCCTGATAAATAGATAAACTAAATGAAAACGCTTTAAGTGGACTGAGAAAGACTTAGCTTTTAGTCCACAAAAAATATGTTTCAGGTTGTCAAAGTATGGACACGATTCCGACTCCAAAGCATGGTGGGGGTAACATCATGCTGAGGGTCTGTTTCACCAGCAGGGGCGCTGCTGCGCTGCTCAAACTGGAAAACAAGTTTGGGTTCATAGCCAGAAATCAGTCCATTTAAATGGACTCAGTGAACGCTGCCAGACAGAGTGATGAAATCCAAGATTATGGCAGAAACTTGTTGCTGTGTGTTGGAGAGCTGCAGCTTGCTGAAGGATTTTTAACCAGGTACCAGGAACAGTCTGTATGTATAACTTTGTGCCAGTCTGAATGCGATAAAGAACTCAGACGTATGCACCCCGTTTTTTTTATTTATTTATTTTTTTAAGTAATGAAAGTAGTTTGCTGTATCGTCATTCCAGTGCAAATGCTGCATCAATGAAACCCCGTGACATAATGCTGGTTGCTGAGTTGCACAGTTTCTTTCTTGCTGTAGTCTTGCAGGTGTGTCACGCAGCACCACCATGGTGGTGGCCTACCTGATGACCGTCACCCACTACAGCTGGGAGGAATGTCTGACCGCAGTGAAGGCTGTTCGCTCGTTTGTCGGCCCAAACTGTGGCTTCCAGGAGCAGCTGCAGGAGTACCAAAACACACGCGTCTCAGAGGTAAACCTGACGAACCCGAAAGCAGAGAGAGGCAAACGCTTTGATGGTCCGACTGTTGAAACTGATGCGGGTCTTTAGTTAAGATGTTTTCACCGTCTCAAGAACTGCAGTAATTTAGCGCTCTGTAAATGGTTTCAGGTGTTAATTGTGATTCAGTGCTGAGGCCGGGACAGGATGTGACAGATGCAGCCGTCACATGCAGACTGTGGTTAACCTGTCAACTGTTAATTGCAACCATCTCACACACACACTTCGAGCTGTCTCCCAAAATGGGTTAATTTCTGTTTCCTGCAGAGGACAAGCAGCTATGATTTGTTGTCCTGCAAAGACTAGAGGTTAGAAATACAAACCAGTTCAATAAATTCAAATATTACCGAAAAGTTCATTTGTTTCCTTAAATCATTTCACTAAGATTAAATTCAGACAGACTGACGATTTCAAGGCTTTATGAGGATTTTTCTGCATGCAGCTACAGCAAACAAGACGATTAAGATCAGAATATTACCAATTTAAAAGAATTATACAGAAAGGTGAGGTTAATGAGAACCTCTGCTTGATACCTGCATATTATAATTTATTGAAAATTACTTAATTTACACACTGAGCTGTATACTCTACATTTTTGTCTTAAAAATGTAGTGAAACATAAATGCAATCTGTAAATTTCCCCGACTTCTTCAAATTTCAGATTTTAGTTTTACTTTGTTTTTTGGTACGAAGAATTATTCATAAGAATGCTTTGAAATTTCTACATTTCTAATGCTTTTAATTGGTTTTAATCTTTGGGGGGGTTTTTTGGTTTTTTTTCTTTTCTTTTTTTTTTACCAAGGAAAATCTAAAAAGTGTGTCATGCATATAAAGTAGCTGAGAAGCAGAGTTAAGTTATAAAACAATATATTACGCTGTGAACAACTTACAAAACTCTGTTCACTCCATCATCTGAAAATGGAAACGGACACAACTGTCCACCTAGCATGACGGGAGGCGACCAAGGAGAGTTTTATACAGATAAGCATCCAAGAAGGCCATGGTGTCTCTGGAGGAGCTGCAGATGACAATCTAGACTTTACTTTAAACTAAAGTAGCAGTTCTGTTTGTAGTTTGCTGCCAGCCAAGCAGGGACCAAACCAACCGTGTGAAAGAAGGTTCTCTGGTCAGACGAGACCAAAATTATTGACTTGCTGGAAAAGTCACTCTGTGTGGTGGAAAACTGACAACAGCACATTGAACTGAAACCAACATCACCGCTGTGGGAAAGCCTTTCTTCTGACAGGACAGGGACGCTTGTCAGAGTAAAAACACTGTTATACATGAAGGCCAGAACTACAGTGGAGTGGTTTAGATCATGATGTTAATGTGCAAACTTAAATCCAAGTGAAAATCTGTGTAAAGACTGAAAAAGTAAAGTTTATTAGTTCATTTAAAACAGAGTCGATTTGCAAAATGACTCTAAAAGATGTTTTACACCAGACTTAGTTTCCATCTGTTGTCCCTGGGCAGATAAGTTAATGAAACAGTGTAATATGATAAAACCTACATTTAAAATCCCAATCTACCCTAATAACAATCACTGTAGAAAATCATAAAATTACAAGAACATAAATAGTGCTTAATGCTAAACTTCTGCTCTGAAAACTGATGTTCTCTGATGCTCTTCATTCAGTCTGACTGAGTTTAAGCTATTTTGCGGAGTAGAAAAATGCCAATAGTGGAGACGAGGTGGTTAATGGTGGTTCTACTAATTATTGACTCAGGCAGCTCAGTGCCATCCTTTTCAGGTTTTTATTTGTGGAAAATGTTGAAAACTCCACGTGTGATTTTCATTTCACTTTACAATTCTACAGTGCTTTACGTTGCTCTGTCTCGTAATTGCCAGGAGAATTATGAGAGACTATGGGTGTGAATACTTATGTAAGGCTCTGTATATCCGATCAAGGCAGAACAATCCGAGTCAAAGTCCAGGAAAATTTAAAGTAAATGTAAGTGCCGGATTCAGATATTATTGGTGTACAGTTTGGACCTTTCATCATGTTTTCTTTAATTCATCTGAAGAATATGATCCATGCTGAATTGATCACGTCCGACGTGAGCTTGCGGCGTCTGGCTGTTCTCAGCCTGTGTCTTTTGCAGAAGACACGCAGAGTGTGTGATTCCATGACCGCGCTGTGTGAGAAGGGGAACTGCAGGGGGTTTGCTTGGATTGCATTAGCCTGGGTACTGCTCATCACGTGTTAATCATTACTGTCAGCATTTTGCAACATAGCATGACTTCAAAAAAAAAAAAGAAAAACCTGCTCATTGTTTGAAAACGTTGCACTGATTTCTAGGATTTAAGAGGAAATGTCTTTTCTGCATCTGTGATTTTCCCACGTGTGTAAGAGAGAAAGTAAAGCCTCCTCAGATGATTTTTGTATTCAAGATTATCTGATTAACAAGAACTTTCAATTATTTATCTAAACACGCATTTGTTTGAAAGTGTTAGAGATCCTGCAGACCTGAGTAACCTTGAACTTTGATAAAGTTATCAGATCATTGCAGTCTAACCAATCCCTGCCTTTGAACTGGATCACTGTGTCATAATTAAAACATTTGGTAATTTTCCAGGTCTGTATAGTTGAAGAAAAAGGAAAATTAATCATGGAAAAATAATCAATTTTTCATTTTCTAAAGAACAGTAAGGAATTGTTGCTGTGTTTTTGCATCACTTTATATTAAAATAGTATGCTTTCTCTTATGATTTCTCATTGTACATTGATTTTAACATAGTACCAGTCAGTCTTTTCTTTTTTAAATAAACATTTTACCATCTATTTGGTCTCTGGAGAAGCTTCTCTACAAGTAAAGCTGGACCTGTGGTTCCTAAATTGCACCTAAATACCAAACAAATCCTTCAAACTGATTGACAGACTTTTCTCCAAACAAGAAAAAAGTCAGGAATCAAAATCAACAAACATGTTTTACAGAATCAGCATTTAGCCTGAGAGACTTTCTTCCTTATTTGACATGTATAACAGTTGTAGATTTTGAAAAAGGGCGGTTAACCCAGACCATCAGCACGCTCTGAAAGCCAGCCCATCAATTTAAGCATAATTATTATTTTATTTATCTGTGAAACCTTCTGATCGTAAGGCTTGACTACAATTTAAACAGATTCAGAGTTGAATGCCCAGAATTTCTTTTTTTATTATTATAAGTAAATATTAACATTTAAATCTGGAGAACTATAAGGTAATATGTAGGAATCTTGTCAATCTGTTCCTGTTTGTGTTCAGAAGCTGCTGGGCTTGAGTTGTATCACTTTAAGCTTTTTGCCTCAGATCAACCAGATGTGACTTATCCTCATTGTACTTTGTGGCTTCTGTGGAGTTATAAAGTATTTCAAGATGACACTTTAACATTTTGCTAGTTTCTCTTGATGTTATCTTTACTCTGGTTTCATCTCTTTTACAGCTGGGTTAGTGTAATGACTCAGTGCTGTGATGTTTGGCTTTTTGGATGAATGTGAGAAAGCTAATTTAAGGAAGATGAATGTATTACTTTCACAATGACTTTCACTTCAATTTATTTTTCAAAGAATATGGTGTGGCACAAGTTGGTGGATAAATCCTGCATATCATTTTTAACTTTTCTTGATGTTAAGGAAACTTTTTAAAGAAAGGCTCATGTATGTATTTAAATCCATGTAAGCTGGACAGTAACACTAAGAATGATTACGACCCTTTCATTTTTTTATTTTCACTCTTCTAACAGAATTCAAGTTCTGCTGCAATTTCACTAGGAAGTTTCATGCTTAGGTTATCATCTGTTATCTGAGGTATCTATTCAGCTCAGATGTTTGGAACATGGAAACAGTTGTTGCAACAGAACAATGATCCCAAAGACGCATCCAAACCGATTCTTGGAATGCATAAAACAGGGTGGCAACATTGGCATTTCTCAACCATGGGGATTTTTCTGCGTTCTTTAATATTTTAATATTGCATCAGATCAATAAAAAACTATTTTTTAAAAGCAAAAAATGCGAGCTTAATGAAAAGTGTGTTAAATACCTGCGTTGAGGTTGTTATTTTCAAAAGGTACTTTTGACAAATGAGACTCATCAGGAGATATATTTATTAAATATGATATTAAGGGAGGATTGTATTGTTTGTAGCTTTGGTGTATAATTTGGATGCTCTGTGGATTTGTGAAAAATCCATTATAAATGCATATATTAAAAAAAAAAAAAACATGACATTTTTATGTTGTTTCTATTTCACCTTTGAGAAATGCAATAAAAATGTTTTATTCACTATTTATTTTTCCTGAGCATCCCTCACCACAACATTATTTTCTTATGTCTCCAGTACCGAGCTTGGCTTCAGTCCAGTTTTTGTCCCAGTCCGTTCAATGACCAGCAGGAGGTGGAGGCTCTGTTGAACCAGTATGCGGAGCAGCAGGAGAGCCAGGGCAGAGCGGTGGACCACAGCTGGATGAACCGTGGAGTAGACGCTGGTGATGCTGAAGGCGACGGCTGAAACTACACGCTCCGCACCCAAGTCAGCCCTCACACCGAATGCAACTTTAGAGTTTGGATTAAAGATTTTTTTTTTTTTTTCTTCCGTCACAACTTTTTTAAGCTCTGGGTATTTATTCAGAAATGTGCTACAAACTTTAATTCCTTATATCACCGAGCACTGCCATTACTATGGTTTTGGTGACGCCTTACAATAAAACACCCCAGCACTTTAGCCATAATGAGTAACTTCCATGTTTCTTTTTTTTTTTTTTACTATTGACTCAGCAGCCTTAAATCTGACTGACTAATGCTGTTTCGATTAAAAACTGTTTGCCTTTTTGAAAAATGAAATGCTCCAGTTAAGCCATAATGTCTTTTTTTTTTTTTTTTTTAACATACATCCCTTCAGTTTCTCCAGAATAAACTATTTAACACCGCAGCTTGTGAAATCATTATGTGCACTGGACTGATGCATTTTTCAAGTGCATCTGATTAATAGATAAAGAGAAAGATTTCTTTTATTTGGTCACATCACACACACGCACACACACACACACACCAAAATGCGTTACCTGGACCCCACAGTGAAACTTCCTGATTTGGTGAAAATGATGATGATGTGTAGTAGGACACAGTGTTGCACAAACTCCTACTTTCCCTGATCAGAAGGGAACTTTATGCTCCCCATCAGGCTGTAAGCAGAAAAAAAAACCCAGAACAGTTAAACAATAAAAGCAGGAGGTAGATTGTTTTAATTGTCCACAATAATTTATGGTACTATAAACACATTGAAAATGTTTTAACATTTAGAAAATGTTACTTGAATTAAAATAAACTCACTGAACTTTGAAGAGTAATCACCCTTTGATTTCCAAACACCTGTTTGCATTTTAAAGCTGCTTTGTAATGCAATTGTGGATTTTTTAAATTTCTTTTTAATGTTGTTAAATTTCTGTTCTGTTTTAATTATGTATATACGATTCATTTTATTGTTATGTTTTATAAAGAAATGCAAAATTGCTAATAAATCTGAAGCTCTTGCAATGAGTGTTTGAGCCAAGTTGAATGATGTAATTCAAAAAGAACTGATAAGGACAATGAATCACATGTTAAACATTCACTTCCTTTTTTTTAAAAAAACAAAAAACAATCATACTATCCTTATTATTCATGAAATTCTGAAGAAGATTGCAGACATTTTAAGATAACATGCTAGTCTTTGATATTTTCAAATATACGGAAGGATGAAGGGATTCCAGAGCGGTTCGGAGCGAACAGCATTTACTCTCATACACCAACATGGAGTTTGCATGTTCTCCCTGTGCATGCGTGGGCTCTTTCCGAGTACTCTGGCTTCCTCCCACAGTCCAAAAGTTGAATCCGAACTTCAGTTTTCTCAGAAAATTAAGACGTGATGAGGCCAATAAGCAATCATCTATGATCCAGTGATATTAAAGCAGAACCTTGAAGAACTGCTGCTGGTGACTTTTCAGTATTTAAGCAGACAGCTCCAGAATTAGAGGAATTCCATGAAAGGTTGTTGTTAAAGATTTACCTGTTTACAGAGATCTTAATGGGAAATTGAGTGGTAGAAAAATGTAGACAAGTAGGAAAAACACAGCTTTTAGAGGACTGTGAAGCAAAGCCCAAGATTACAAGGCGTGAGAGAAAACGTTTCAAGAGCCACCATATATTTGGGCATTAGCTGTCCCATTCCTTGTGTTGAGCAAATCCTAAACTAGAGGCAGCACCAACAGGGTCATAAAGCGGAAAATATCAAAGATCAAAATTTCTATTTTCAAAGAAAAACGAAAGAAGACAAGAAATGTATTTCAGTTGGGAATTAATGTTCCTGAGTCTGGAGGAAGACTGGAGACATTCAGAATCCAAACGGTGACCATTTACCGTTTGTCGCTTTTGTTCCACTGATGAATCGAGTCCAGTCGGTGCGTCCATCTGCCAGGACTTTTTAGAGTACCTCATTCTTCCTTCTGCTGCTGATAAGCTTTATGAAAACATTGATTTCATTTTCCAGGAGGACTCTGCACCTGCTCACACTGCAGAATGTACAAGTACTTGATTTAATAGCCATGGTATAACTGAGTCTGATTGGTCTGTCTGTGGAGTATTGTCCATAGAAAGATAAGACATGATCAGACTGAACAATGCAGACAAAGTGGAGGACAATATTAAAGCAACCTGAGCTTCCTGAACAGCAGAGTTGATCTCCTTCACACTCAGCACTGATGCAAAATGAATTCAAATATTGAGAGCAAATAGTGTTTCTTTTTATTTATCTTGTGCTTTATTCACATTAGCTGAACAGTTAGCAATAAACCCCAGTGGCAAAATTGGATAGAAACACTCTGGCTCTAGTTGTTAATGTGTGATCAGTCTACATAGCGCGCGAATTTCACTTTTTCATTTTATTCACTGAAATAAACCAATGTGTCAATTATGTCTCCACTTATTGAGATGCTCATGAAATGTTTGTATCTTTAGCCTTTAAAACTGACTGTGTCAACATTTGCAAGGAGACAGTTGGACAGGTTTAGACATGCAGCTTCCTGGCAGGAAAAACAAACAAACATACTTACAGTAAGTCTGGCAAGCTGTTGAAAATCCCCATTCCACTAAGTCCAACTGGTTATTTGCATATTTTAAACTATCAGTAAAAAAAAAAAAAATTCTCCGTTTACTGGAAAATAACATTGTCAAATAATGTCAATATCATAGGGAAATTGCACATTTTGAAGCCTGGTGTGAGGATAAACGTCTTATGTTGAACTTCAGCAAAACTAAAGGAACCTTAGGGGATCGGGGAGCACTCGGGTCATGTGATGTTCAGTGGAAATATCATCGAAAAAGTGCTCATCTTTAAATATCTTGGCACCACTACGTCCAATACTTTGGGCTGGAGGGATCATGTTGATTGTCTCTGCTCTAAATTAGCCCAAAGACTTAATTTCCTGCAGAGACTTGGGTTGTTTGGAGTCCAAGCTAAGATCATGCTGACTTTCGGCAGTTTAATTAAACATGGCTTGGTTTGGCTACCTCGCAGTCCAAATCTAGACTTGCAGGCGAAGTGAAAACCTGGATGAAAATAAGTAGGACAAATTCTCAACCTCTTCCACTGCAGTCTGTCGATGATGCTGCAGTAAATTAGACAGGCAATAAAGACCTCGATGGATCCACTCCATTTTCTGTTTGGTGACTAATAACCTCAGGAAAACGCTACAGAGCCATTTGTTGCAAAACCAACTGTTTTAAGCAATCCTTTTTCCAAACGCATCTTTCTTCTTAATACGTTGCGACTACTATTCGGAGGATGGCTGGGAAGGCCTTGGTTGCATTTCAAGCTGTTTTTATCGTGTACGTTCATTTAATTATTTATCTATTTCGTTGTCTCGTTTGTTTTAGATGTTAGGGTGCTGTTTTATATAGCACTAATGATAAAAGGTCAAATTCAAATTGAAGTATTCATGATTCAGAAGAGGTATCAGACCCTCCCACCCCACTGCTGTGGTCCTTCAAGGAAAATGAGATAAAGACAGTGAATGGATATGTCAGAAGTTGAACCTTGGAAATGTTTGACATTTTGCTTTGGATATGAGAAAGCCTGTTTATTCAGACAGAAAGATGACCTTTGCTGAGTGTGTGTGTGTCATTAGTAGTGACTTACAGTATTTTGAAACAGTTACATTAAAAATGAGATCAGACCAGCCTCACCAACCAAATCAATCACTGTATTATGTTTCTACTTGGTTTAGTAGGAGTAGTAGAGTGAGGGAAATCCAAAAGTTTAAACAATCATGACATGTATGCTTTTGATTTTAACAGAAAGGTGGCCCTCACCCACTTTATGATTATCTGAAAATCGTAAAATGGGAATTCCAGAATTTTTTTTTTTTTCAGAAGAACATCACGCTTTGATTAAAACATTGATTAGACAGAGGAAAAGATAAATAACGTAGAAAATAAAAGGCTGCTCAGCTAAAATGATCTCAAATTATAAAACAATGACAAGGACTGAGGATGTCAGACCTGTCGCATACCAGGGATCATGGATCAGTTTGAACACATTAAAATAAAAGAGGAAATGCTCCTGAATTACGCGTTTCGACAAGACAAGGACTCCAAGCACACCTTAAAGTGAGCAGACCAACAAAATGAGGTACGGAGAGGTCAGTTCACACCTTGGACCTTAGCTTAATAGGAAAAAAAAAAAAAAAAAAGTTGCGTGACATCAAGCATGTTGTGTGTCAGGCAAAACCAAGAAATTACAGAAAAACTGTGGAATGTAATTCAGTCGTTCTTTTTGCAGTTTATACCATTTTTAAACAAAAATAAACCCTATACTTTTTTTTTTTTTAAACTGGCTAATTTTTCTTTTCTCCTCATGAAAGATGATAAAATTGAGCAGTTTTTTTCCCCTCAGAGTTGAATTTTGTGTGGCCTTTCAATGTTTTAATGCATTTTATGTATACAAATAAATGCTGTTAAACTGCTGACCTTTACTCAATTTGCTATGATTGAACAAAACTTTAGAAATAACAAATAATTGAATCACGTACCTCTGTGTTGACCTTAAAACTACTTCAGAGACGTAACCTATTTTGGAACTAAGATCAGATAATGAAGATTGGTGATTTATTGCGTTTTTTTGTTTTTTTTTACACAAATAATTCAGAAGTTTATTTCTGATGCGCCCCTTGTGTATTCTCTGGTTCTCTATTTCTATGGTTAACATCATGCAGGTGCATTTCTGAAGAAATCTGGAGCATGGCTTTGGTCCACCCTACACAAAGCTCCACTGTGGCAGCACAGCCGCTTTTTCTCTTTTGCGGTTTCACATTAGATTTGAGTGGGCGCGGATAGGAACGCAAAAACCTCCTCGTTCTGTCGCATAGAAATCCCCCTCTTCACACAGTAACTTGTGACTTTACGGCTTTTAATCAGTGCTCCACGTCCTCGGAGCTTTCGGCGTGGGCAGCAGCTCTTTACAACCATCGCTTGTGTCAGGCCATTTCTTGTAAATACTCGCAGTTCAGAGAAAGAACCCTTCCTGAATGGGCCGTCGGAGGCGCAGCCATTGGCTCGAGCAAGAGGCAGCGTTGGCAAGCCCCTCCCTCCTGCTTCATTCATGTAGCACCACAAACTTTATAGGCAGCTTGTTCAGGGGAGCGCACTTGATTTATCCCGAGGCATAAATCAGAACCTCACCCATAGCCAGGAGCTCACCGGCCTGATTGACTGTAAGTGATTTTACTTTTGGTTTAGCTGAGAACGTCGGCAGACTCGACTTATAATCACTCATTTAATAGTTCACTTGATGGTACGGGAAAGAGTGATGGGAATAATTTATGTTTTTTATTTTATTTTTATTATTATTATTATTTAGGTAAAAGGGAACAATCTGAGGTAAAACAAAATAAAATAAAAAAAAAGACGCGCTGTCACGATGTCAAACTCGGGTGGTCGCAGACTGAAGCAGTGGCTGATGGAGCAGATCCAAAGTGCGCAGTACTCTGGGCTGCAGTGGGAGGATGAAAGCCGCACCATGTTCAGAATTCCGTGGAAACACGCAGGAAAGCAGGATTACAACCAAGAAGTTGACGCATCTATTTTCAAGGTTTGAGTCTTTTGGAATCTGGATTTTTTTTTTCTTTTTCTTTCTGTTTGCTTTTTGAGGCGCTGCAGCTCAAACTTAACTGATATTGAAGAAACATTTTTGCTTTATGTGATTTAAAAATATATATATTTATGTTTTTCTCTTTCCTTTCTTTCTGCTTTTCTTTTTCTTTTTTGCTCTCCTTTCTTTCTTTCCTTTTTTCATTCTTTTGACACCTTGCTTTATATATATATATATATATATATATATATATATATATATATATATATATATATATATATATATATATATATGTTGTTTTTTTTTTTTGCTTCTTGCCCTCTCCACAGGCCTGGGCTGTGTTTAAAGGCAAGTTTAAAGAGGGGGATAAGGCTGAGCCTGCAACATGGAAGACCAGACTCCGCTGTGCCCTCAACAAAAGCCCTGACTTTGAGGAAGTAACAGAGAGGTCACAGCTGGACATTTCCGAGCCATACAAGGTGTACCGCATCGTGCCCGAAGAGGAGCAGAAACGTGGGTTTTCCTTTAAACCTGCTCACTTGTAACGATAACACATAATTAAGTTATTTCTATAAAATCTCAACAGAATCATAATACGTGTTTGTTTGTTCTTTTACTCTCCCTCAGATGGTAAAATACCAGTGATCACCATGACAGGTCCCACCAGTTCTGGTGACCACACAGACATGGCCTGCAGCCCTACAGAAATAGAGGAGCTCATTAAGGAGGTACAGAACTGCCTTTCATTTGAGAGAGTTTGTCTTCACGATTGCTTTAGCTGCTCGATGCTCTCCAGTTCATCACCTCTTTGTATTTCTCTGCTTTCGCGACACTTTTTCGCCTTCAGTGTCACACTGCTGCTGTTTCCTTCAACACTTGTTGCATTCAGCATGCATACCCTCCTCCCTTGTTGTGCACCACAGGCACATGCAAACTGCTGTGTGTCTTTTTGCAGGAGGACGGCTGCAGCATCCAGGCCAGCCCAGAGTATTGGCCCCAGAGCAGCATGAATGGTAAAAAAAAAAAAAAAAAATTGCTCTCATGTTGATTATTTGAACTGTTAGCATTTCTCTATGTGTCGGACATGCAAATATTTATCTGCATCTAATTTCGTCTGAACTTTAGAAACACTAATTAGTATTTCTGAGACATTGACTTCTTTTTTTTTTTTTCCATTAAAAACAACCCCAGCGGAAAGCTCTGCCGTTTGTCCCGGCTGCTGTGGGTGCTAAATACAAGCTGTTTGCTTGTCTGTCTGTTGAATTCTGCAATGGAACAATTGACTAATATCCTGTTTAACTCTGCTGACTAAAGTGATTATTTCTCTGTAAATCGTGTTAAGGGAATGCTATTTCTGATGATGCAGCAAAGAACAGACATGACACTGAGGTTGAGTCCACTACAGTAAGACACAGACGAATTACAAGGAAAATCATGCCTTCTTTTTGTACTTCACAGCTTTCTCTCTGCATCAGGACCCGATGCCATCGGGCAACGTCAACTCAGGTATGAAAGCAGTTACTTTTTCAGGCATTCTATAAAAATCTGTTAATTAAAATAAGTGTTATCATATTATTCTATCATTTCTAAGCTTTTTTTTTCTTCTTCTTCCATTTCTAGGTTTCTCCCAGTTGATGATCTCTTTCTACTATGGAGGGAAGCTGATGTACAACACACTGGTTACTCATCCAGAAGGCTGCCGGATTTCCCCCCAGCAGCACCTGGGTCGTGGCGCCCCCTACAGTTCAGACAGCATGCAGAACATTCACTTCCCCCCGGCGGAGCTTATAGAGTACGAGAGGCAGCGCTACTTCACCCGCAAGCTGCTGGGTCACCTGGAGAGAGGCGTGCTGGTGCGTGCAAACCAAGAGGGCATCTTCATTAAAAGACTGTGCCAGAGTCGAGTCTTCTGTAGCGGGCTGGGGGACGGCAGCTCCCAGTACGGCTCCATGCCCTGGAAACTCGAAAGGGATTCTGTAGTCAAGATTTTTGACACAGGAAGGTTTTTTCAAGGTGAGTCTCAATGTTTGGAAAGTTAAAATCAATGGTTAAGACAAAGATGTGATGGAGGAGCGATGGTATAATATGGTGGCCTAAAGCTTTTTTGTTTTTTTGTCATAAATGTTGCAGCTCTACAGCTCTATCAGGAAGGTCAGATTGCTGCTCCGGATCCCTCGGTGACGCTGTGTTTTGGAGAAGAGCTGAACGACGTCAGCAGTGCCAAGAGCAAACTGATCATTCTACAGGTAAGGCCTGTCGACTCACAGCAGAGCAGCTGAGTAAATCTGAATCTGCTGAAGAGACACAAAAATCCAACAACAACAACAACAACAACAACAACAACAACAAACAAACAAAAAAAAAACCTTCTCTCCTCTCTTCTCCTCCAACAACAGATCACCATGGTGAACTGCCAACACATGCTGGAGTCCCTGAACATGCGTCGCTCGCAGCCTTACACCAGCAGCCCAAACGTGGAGATGAGCGATGATGTGGCCACCGAGCAGATGGCCAGAATCTACCAGGACTTGTGCAGCTACAGTGTTCCCCAGAGGCCGGCGTGCTACAGGGACAACATGCCCATCACTGCCTGAGCAGCTCGACAAGATTCGCCTTTAAACATATCAGGCATTCTATAGAAGTTTCATGTGCACCAAAGAAGTGAACTGAAAGTTACAGAGGATAAGAAAGCATCATCTCTTCTCTGACAGTAGGACTTTTAGAGGGAGGCTCAATTTTCAAGCTTCCATTTTGGTTTTGCGTGGACTTTATGTTGCATCCATGCAAGGGCAGATAGCGACTTTATCAATTTAAGATATTATGTTAGAAGCAGGGGTTGATAAATACTTTACATTGACAAAGCTTCATTCAAGCTAGATTTATGTAAGTTAGGCTGTTAAGTTCTCAAACTGGATTTTACTCGTTTTTCTTTTTCACAGTTTCAGGAGCTTAGATGATTAATTCTTGTGTGTGTCAAAGTAAAAAGCAGTCGAATACTATCTCATTTCATACTATCGTATTTTCTACAGAAAATGAAAATATTTTTGTATTGGTTGACAAAAATTGCATATTGTTTTGGATGCAATGTGGCATTAAAGTACAGATAGGTTTTACTATCAAACTGTTCTCCGAATAAACTGTATTTCAAATAAAGAGTTTTACAGAAATGCCCGTGTGCTTGTCCTTTAGCAATTATCAACTAGTGCACAAGTTTGAGTTTTAGCTCAACTTTTCAGACCATCGGCGGGACTAACATTTTATTTTTCTCCCTTATTGTTAAAGTTTACATTTCTTTTCATATTTGTTGCTTTTACAAATCATATAAACCTTAGTCTTAGTAACTAAGCCCACCTAAAAAACACAAGTCAAGCTTTCGTGTTAAACTAATGCCTGTGACATGTTGGTGTCTGCTTTTTGTTTAATCAGGTGTGAAACCAATATTTAAAATTTAACTGCACAGCGAGTCAAGCGCATTTCCTCCGTCAGTGTCAAAAATGCATTTATTCGATCTAAGATATTCCTTTATTATAAATGAATAATAGCAACTACTTTGGATGTTCCTTTTTATGTCAATGTTTTATCCTAAACGGCACAATGAATGTTACATTTTGCAGCAGAATCTGAGACATTAACACAGGAGCTTCACATGATGGTTGGCTGCACAAAACACTAAGAAAGACGTATCCCTAAATTAGAACATCACTGAAAATTTTCAATAATTTCATTCAACGCTAGTATAGGCTCAATAAATTTGGCTTCAATATGTAATATTTTGAATATTACATAAGACCAATAACTAAAAGGAGTTTTACTACAGGAAAGTCAATACATGCTTGGAGCGCCTTTGTGTCTGAATTACTGCATCAGTTCTTTATAGTAGAGAGCAGCTCATCCTGTGTCGATGCCCAGGTATTAGAAGTCCAGGCTGTGAATTTTCATCAAATCAGCTTTGTTGCAACTGCATCTGCCACATTTTTTTTCTTTAACTCAGCTTTCCAATATAGAACTCAATATAAAACTCATTGGCGTATTTAGAAAAATATTTTGCTGCCAACCCCCCCAGAGGAAGAGTGCCACTGAACATGCTGCTTTACTGCTCTGATGTAGTATTGAAACGTCTCCTGAAACCTAATTTTGACTTTTCATTCGTGAACTCAGGAGTTTCACATTTTCAACTAAGTTACTGTCCAAATAAAATAAATTTGTGATATTTTTATGTTTTTTTTTTTACATCTGCAGTCATGTAAAAAAAAGGACATCTGATTAAAAGTTGACTCAATAATGTCTTGTCTTATTTTTAAAGAAAGCGTTTTAATTTCACTTAAACAGCAACAATTAACATTGTTTTAGTCTTTAAACTAGAGATATCAACACAAATGTATTTTTATTCTGTGAGATACTTCTTTTTCACCAGCTGTTGGCACTTGTTTTATAAATTCTCCACTTTTAGACTTCTTTCCAGACAGTGAAGTTACTGATTTCAAGCTCATTTATGTCTTTGAATCTTTACCAGACTCATGAGCTGCCAAAGTCTTCCCTATGAAGGTTTCTGACAGAAGCTTCAATCATCATCAGCACCCAATATGATACGTATTTAATTTTAGCCATTTTGATTTATTCCTCACTCAAAAATGCTCATTTTCTTTAGTTTTCTTATGTTATTTAGCAATTATCCATGTTATCTAGAAATGTAAGAAAACATTTTTTTTACATCAATTTATGTTGGTTTGAAAAGAACACAATGTTCACATTTAAAATTAAATAACTTAATTCACTTCAGAATATTTGGGCAAAAGTGTAATCGCAGAGACCAGGAATATTTTAATCACACAATAAAAGTACATTCAAGGGGAATTTCTTACTATAAGTCATTATAAGGCTTTGCTCAAAGGGAATTCCTTCATCACTGAGACATGCATTACTTACTATGAACACATGCCGTTATCCACCCTGAGTTTAAAAGGATGAAACCAAAACCTTATTTGAAAGTAAAAGAGAGATCTAGACGGGAAAGCTTCGAGACACTTTTTCCTGATGACTAACGGAGAAAGGACAGGAAGAGAGGCGACAAACTGAAGCTGAGTGATTCTGTGATTCAGAGTGAGATTCCTTCATCTGGTTCTCCTGCTTTTCTTTCTGCTGCTCTTTGTGCGGAAGACATGCTGACGTTGACCTAAAGGCCAAATGGCAACACTGTAAGGGAAGTGTGTTTACGTTATGCATCATGTAGGCTCACATGCACACGCTCCCACGCAAAAAAAAAAAAAATGTTTTCAGAGCTGGACTTGCCAGTATCACTGACCTATTGCGAGTCCCAAGTGTACTAGAGGTTAAGGGCAAAAAGCTAATGACCTAACATTATTTTTCAACAATTTCTGGAAGAGAACAGAATTCATGCTTTAGTTGGGATGAAAGTCATCCCGGTACTAAACAAGCAGCAACAAACCACGACACTACCATCGCACATACACTGTTATTTTCCTTAAATACTGTAGATTTATGTCGGATATCAGAGGGTGGCACATCTTTACATGGTCCCAAATGCTTTGTTTCCTCAGACAGCTGAATATTTTACTAAAATAATTTAGAGTGTCGTAAACATGTTTTTGGTGAGCGTGTTTTTGGCTAGCAGTGGTTCTAGCGTTGGAACTCTCCCACAGCTGCCATCTTTACCCAGCTGGGCGCTTTAGGACTGTGACGTATTCAGCAGCGCGACATCCTGGGGAGACAAACAACTTTTTGTGATGACTGGTAGTTTTGCAAATGGCACTCACTAGCTTCGACCTTGAGGTAAATGTCTAAACAGTTTGTGTCCAGAATGTGTGGGGTTTACAGAGATATTAGCTGTCTTTTTCCTAACCTCTGCAGACGTAATTGATCGTTGCACTCTGGATCTGTCCTGTGTTACTGATGAAGGTCCCCAAGACAGAGTGAAGAATGACAGACAATGATCAGCAGATCCTGTGGAAAAGTTGTGTTTCTTCAGTTGAAAAAGGAAGTACAACGAAGCACTAACAGTGCCAATAATGACCATCTTAGGGCTTATGTATCTTTTAATATATTTTCATTAGTACAGAACTACATAAAATAACATATCAACACACTTAAATTAGATTTATTTGTCTGAAAGGTTCATCAATCTTAATATTTATGTTCCTCCTGAACAAGCATCTATATATGATCTGCTTTTTGAACATGAATTCAGTCATGAATGTTTATGTGCATGTAAATACTTGATGATGTACCGACTTCTCAAAAGTGTCCCATTTCTAAGTAGTTATTCTTTCTTACTATGCCTATGTTTATATACTTAAATCTTTATTTCCGTTTGTAAACACCATAGGGTTACGCTGTGCTTCTTGCTCGCTTATTGAGCAACGTGTTAGCTATCTGAAAATCTCATACTCCAGTTAGGCAGAATTGCCTCCATCGCAGTGACGAGATACCAAACAGTGACAGTTTAAAAATGACTGTCTGTCTGAGTATGTGTGTGTTTCTTTTCAGTTCCCATTACAGAAAAGGCTTTGGTTTCTACAGATCATTCTGACACTTTTCGCTATTACTTAGTGAAATCCCAAATAAATGAAAATCCAGCTTTCAGCAAAACTTAGCAGGGTATTTGAAAAAGTTCTAAAAGTATCGGATTTGATTCAAATGAGCTGATGCTTCTTTCAGAAACAAGACACAATGATGTTCATGCAGACCTTTCGAATTGTATTCACACCCCTTGACCTTTTGCTCATTTTGTCCCACTATAACCACCGTTAATAGATTTTACTGTGATTTAATGGGATCGGCCAACTTCAAAGTAAGGCAATTTGTGAATCTGAGCAAAAATGATACCGGTTTTTATAGTAAATACAAATCTGATAAGGGTGGCTTAAAATCTCAGGCCTCTTGAGTCAATAACTTAAAAAAACACCTTTCAATGCAAACACCTAGAAAAGCTCAAACTCAGTGAATTCACATGGTTGGTTATCTGTGAGCATACAGATGTTTTCAAGTGGAAGTTCAGGCTGATGTGTGGTGGTATTTAGCATGTAGTCCAAATTGGTTTCATTTTGGTTTCTTCTCACCGGAGCACCTGTGACAACCTGCAAACTGGACGTCTAGATGTTTTCCGAGGCTGTTTTCATGGGTTTTAGAGAATTTATTGAATGTCAGTTGAGTTCAGAACATGAATTGATCTGGCATTCAATAAATCCCAGGTTAGTGGAGTGGACAACTAAACATTTATCTGCCAAAGATTCTCCCACCTGAGGTGCAGATATCAGCAACTCCTCCAGAGTGACCATGAGACTCTTAGCTGAGTTTCATGGAGGTATATATTGTGATTAAATCATTACAGATAGATGGATTCTACTGGCTATTTAGGATTTTTGTTGCAGTGGATTTTACGTAGCTGATTAAAATTATACACCACAGTTTTTAGATTGTTATTTACAGTTACAGGACAGTGATGGTGGTACTTGGAGTAAGTCCATCATACAACATTTCAAGAAAACATATTAAAGTTTCAGGTGGTAACATGAAAAAAAGCAATGCAACTGCAAGGAAGTAAGCATGTCTTTTTAACCACAATTTGATGTGATAAAACAATCTATGTCTATTTTTTTTAACTCAATGAGTCACAAAAATTACCTTGTCAAAGAAGTCATGTGCACTTCATATGACATCTCTGGATAATACCTGCACTTAAATTAGAATACTGAGTGAATGGTTCATTGAACAAAAACACAGATGGAAAGGAGGGTCTGACTCTCTCTGTGTGTATACGTGTGTGTGTGTGTGTGTGTGTGTGTGTGTGTGTGCGTGTGGTATTATTATAATGAGTCTGTACTGTCTAATTTCCGCAGAACAGGAAGTTCAGAAACAGTCACAGAAAGCTGATTCTGTCTACTCTTGAAACGAACATGGTGTGTTGAGATGTAACCAATATCTCCAGTAAATTCTACGAAACAGACTAATGTGACCTTAGATGATAATTTGTGCTTAATTGTAGCATTAAACACCGATCAGGAATGTCTATGAAATTAGAACAGCAGCCTCCTTCAACTTTTTGTCTTTTATCATTCTAATAGGAAGGTGATCTAAAAATGATTTACAGACCTACAAAACATATCAGGTATTTGGTCCTTGTATATCTTTTTTTATTATCAGAACCAGC